CGACTATGAGTACCCCCCCCCCCCCCTCCCCCCCTCAACCTGCTGCACGCCTCGAACTGGGTGCTGTTTCTTGCACACAGAAGTACGACTTTGCGATGCTAGAGTTGCTAAGCGATGGCAACTTATTTACACCAACATCGGCCCGGGTGCCTTCCTCTTCTCATTCCATCGAGCTTTCATCTCTATGCAATTCCAGTACATTTTTAGTGCTGAGTGGTGACAACTTCTTCGCATCTGAGCGCCTCCCTGGTCTCCAGCGAGATTTCAGCTTCGTGCTGCTCCTGTGCATTTTATCCTCACTACATTGTTTTCATCCATTTTTGCTTGGGTGTCTCCCTTATTTCCCAGCGAGCCTTCAACTTGATGCTATTCCTGTACTTTTATTCATGCTCAGTGATTAACACTTGTTGACATCTAAGAGACCCCTGTTCTCCAGCGAGCCATCAACTTATGCTGTTCCTGTACATTTCCTTCATTCTGTACTAGGTGATGACTTGTTTTCATCTATTTTCGCCCGGGGCTCTCCCTTACTCCTGCAAGAATTGCCATCCCGTTCATCGCTTTTCTCTGTGTCATGACGAGTTATGTACGTCTGCTTCTGCCCGGGCGTCTCCCTTATTTCCCAGCGAGCCTTCAACTTCATGCTGTTCCTGTACATGTTCTGCGCCCTATGGGGCTACGGCGCCGTGTTTGGCGAGGCACTCGCTACCTACGCGCCGGTACCGTTCCTAGGACCGGTCGGCGCCTACCGCATGTACGTGGTCCTGTTTGGGATGGTGGTGGTGCCCATGTCGACGCTGGAAATCAAGGAGCAGGCGACGTTTCAGGTGCGTGCGAGCTGAGGGACACAAGGCGGCGTATGGTCAACTCAACAGCAACAACACAACGCACGGCTCGTGCAGATTGATGTTTCGCATTGTCCTTGAATGACAAAAGAACGACGATGATGGTGGTAGCAATGACAAAGGCACGAGACATCATGAAGAACTGCGAGGCCACCGCGACAATGAAGCTTTTTGTTGTTTGCCCTGCTCTCCCGGGGCAGAAGAAGGGCATAAATAGACCCACATGTGAGTCTAGTATCCAGCATATATCCTTCAACCCTCGCTGTAAAGAAATTAAGTCATGTCTTCGAATGGAGTATTACTCATATCTCGAACCTTAGGGTTAGGTTTCCGAGTCCCTCCTCTACGTGTTGTGCTAGAAAGCTAGAAAGAGCACCCACACCAACAACGGCAAGGACGACCATCGATACTGCTGTGAACACTCATGCTCCTTTTATTCTTGCCAGATTTGATGACGTGCTTTACGTTTCCCGTTTGACTCGACTTGGCGAGCAGGTCGTCTTGACCATCATGCGCTTCATGGCGTTGGTGGTGATGGTCGGGACTATCTTGACCTCCCTGTACACAGGTGGAGAGCCCTTCGGCCCAGGGGTGAGCCTGCCATGATTATGCCATGCAGTCTGCATGATCATGACATGCAGTACAGTGGTCGACGCAGGACTTTTTAAGTAAGCAAACACACGCAAACATACTGGAAAAATGTTAGAAACGGCGAAGATGGGGTTCGAGTTATGGTCTGCGTGCCCCCTGTCTGGTGTTTTTTCCTACATGGCAGCAGTCTTACTTCCTTTTCGTAGGCAGTCCATGGCATGGCGGGTCGATGCTGATCACATACGTAGGACCAACGATTATTTCGTTTTGTGAATGGGTTGTTTTGGAGGTGGGTCGTGGGGTTGTTGCAGTGTTTAGAAACGCTTGTGTGCATATTTTTTTTCACGCTTTGTTGGCACCATGCTGCCTTTTTAGACCTCATACGCACTGCCGGTCAAGCCGTCTTCTCTTCTCTTCGTTGCCGTCCACAATTCCTGAGCCAGAGTCGTGACTCTCGGACCTACGCATCATCGTTTGTCTTGTCTACGTCTAACGGTTGTGCTCATCTTGAATGGTTTTTCGGGTTGGTTTTCTTTTCGGTTTTTCACGCCTCATGCAAGGCTACGTTGTACTTATAAGATGCTACCGTTGGCTTTCACGCATACGTGTCGTACACATGGTAGATTATGTTAAAGTCAGGTGGGATCTGAACCGGAATTGATGCTCACTGGAATATCCGCAACCGGCTCTCCATGGCCTTGTTGGTATCCACCAACCGACCACCCTTGATGAGATGTGCGATACCTTTCGATCAATCGTGGATGGATAAATTTATTTGTGGCCGCCATCCCTCCATCATTACACCTCAAGGTGTCTTGATGATCCCACTATGTGCCACTCTTTCGAGTCCAATTCCATGACCGGGACGCGAAGACCTGTGATTGGAGATTCTCCCCGCCGTTTTCCTGGTTGGGTCGCTCCATCGTTCTCGCATTTTTCTGCCCTATTTTATTTTCATTGCCACGATCGCCTTCGTCCGGCCAAGCGCAGACGGAGGAACTCGTAGGCACGACGCCGTTAGCCACTTGGCGAGGGATTTTTAAGGCCGTCCCCGCTGGCATCTTCGCGCTGTCGCTGGCTGCCACGACACCGACCATTGTGTCCGGCCTGGAACAAAAGCATTCCGTCGGGTGAGAGAAGGTCAAAGCAGAAGAAGGGGTATCCCCTTTTGTGTGAGCAAGCTTCCCTGTGCGTAGTGTAGGCATACCTATGTGATGCACTGCATGCCTGATTTTCGGCGTGTGATTTCGAGAACTTGTGCAAGGTTTGGCGGTCAGTTGCGCGTTGAAGCGTCCGCCGTCGAAACCGTACGGGCGATGAATGTACCGTAGGAGGCGGAAAGAAGGCACCCACCCTAGGCCGATTTTCAAAGAAAGCTGGATTTCTCCACAACGAAGATTGTGCCAACACAAAAAAAAAAAAATATATATATATATATGGTTCTGGAAACATGTCGTAGAGGGCTTTAGGCCGATGTATCGAACCCTTTCCGCACCCCCTTGGTTGCGGAGAAATCGAGCTTTGAAATTCGGTTATGGGGGTGCTATCTCTCCGGCTCTTATCGGTTCACGCGCTTTGTCGCCCGACCCAGCCTTCCACTATGGGGGTTTTGAATAGTGTTGCATTTAGGTTGCAAACAAGCTGCGGCGGCTGCGGCTTTCGATATGAATTGCAGGCGGGTGCTGTGAAACTGGGTACCAGTGGAGGTGTTGACTTCGTTATCATTTTTTTCCCTGATCCGGCGAGGATATGCTTGTAACGGTAGATAGCCGTTGGGCCTTGGCTAGTAGCATGTCCTGTATTGTTTTCCATGTAAAAAGCGCGGAAAGCAAGCGATTTGTGCATGGTTCAGACTGAGGTTTTGATGGGGAATACGCTATGTTCACACAATCACACCTTGCTGAAGTGGCTGAAGTGGCCGCTTCAATCTTCAAGTCTCTTGGTCTTGCGGTGAGATCACTTTCTTCTCTACATTTGTGCTCCTTTCCCCCTGGATGCCCAATCCACCCATGGCATATCTGGATTAGCACAGCAAGCGCAAGGATGATGACCAGCGTTTGGTTCATATCGGTCCGTCCCGTCATTGTAGGATGCAAGATCAATGGTCTAACGACTACGGCATACGTTTGCCCGAGTACACCCCCCAAGGGCTGCACATTAATCGCATGCACTGCTGCTCCATCCTCACCTTCACAGGAACGTGGTGTGGACAGCTATGATCAGCGCGGCTGTAACCTACACAGGCATCTCATTAGCCACGGCGTACTACTTCGGCGCGAGCGTGAACGGCAGCTGCAACGTGAACTGGGCCAACTACTCCCCCGAGGGCGATGGTCCTGTCGGGTCGCTGCTGGCCACTTCAGGCCGCATGATGGCCTACTTTGTGGTGCTGTTTCCCGCCATGGACGTTACCAGCGTGTACCCTCTCAATGTCATGGTGAGTCAATTTCGATGTCATGGCGAGGCAGTGTACCCTCTAGATGTCATGTTGAGTTACTGCAGTGTGTACCGTCTCGATGTCATGGTGAGTTACTGTGTTTACCCTCTCAACGTCGTGTTGGGTCAATGTACCCTCTCGATGTCACGGTGAGCTACTGTACCCGCCAATGGCATGGCTCCTCTACACGTCATTGTGGAATTCCTGCAGCGGTCTTGCTCTCCCGAGCCGTCTTGTCCCAACATCATGTCACTTGGTTAGTTCCTGTGCTTTGTTCAACTCTTGTCTCAACTCACATGACCACTTTAGTTGGCAAGGTGCATGTTTCTCGAGCCGTGATTATCACATCTGTCACACAGCCAACTGGGCGATCGATGTGATCCAACGTGATGGTCGCGGTTTCCTACTGATGGCACGTATTACACATTTCTAGTGCTCTGCTGGTGTTTGTGACGGACGCGTCAAGCACTCGTTTCCATGCACCAGCAGCAGAGAACAGGAACTTTTCGAGTGTACAAATGATTTCTAGCCTATGGGTGTAGGCGGGTGGGGGGGCGTACTCTTATGTTTTGCTAGACCATTGACCACGCGTCCTCGAGAGGACGGAGCATTATTCCCACAGGACCGATCACCGATGGCCAATCGTGCCTTTCTACTTTGCCAAAGGTGGCTCAAAAATGTCTTCCCTAGTCTGTCTATCCTAACGATATCACCTCCCGCCTTTTCAACCCACCTCCTATGCCCCAGCACAGCTACCGTTTTTCCCTCTCTATTCCATGCCTCAAACATCTCCCTGTACGTCCCTTCTATTTTTCCCAGCTCAGTCGGGTGGGACGGGGTAATATAAGGCTGCGCTCTCGAACCCAAAACGTGGCAACTTTGTTGTTTTTCCACGTAATGCGGCACAACTTCATGCGTTGTTGGATTACACGAGAACCGCAATCAGCCGCAACTGAGCACCCGCTTCTGTGATTCTCCCCAAAACATTGCAATGCAACCACAACAGGTGGTCGCGAATAACATGATGGCGGCGGTGTACAACGACCATGTGGACAACGCAGAAAACGACTCGGTGATCGTCACGACCTTTAGGTGATACTGGAAGGCAGATGTAGTGTTGGCGATTCAACCCTTGCGAGAGAGGAGAGCCTTGTTCCTCATGTTTGTTCGCTTGTCGACTCAGAAACGCAACTGGATGGAGATATCGTAGATTTGGATTCGTATATATCGAAGTGTCATGTCTCATTATCTCTGAGACGTGAAATGACGGTCTTCTTGGTGTCCTTTTGGCCTTGTTGCAACAACACGTATTTCTAAAGAGAACACTCGAAATCTCAGCTTAGCAGCTTGACAAGACATAGGGATTAGTTTAGGTCTTTTTTCCCAGCGAGCATTTCGATGGAGCGCACATCATTCATTTCATTGCTGTGGGGTGCTTGAAGGTTGGAATCAGTGGTTTCAGACGCTGTGCGTTTCTTCCGTTTTGGTTCTTCCACCCAACTTCGCCCGTACCCCGGCCCACGATCGTTTCCATGCACAGACTCTTGTGCGCCGTGCCACCGCTGCTATGTGCTCTGCTGTGGAAAGACTTCGCCGCGATTGTGGGTTATGCTGGTGAGAACGCAAGGGACACGGACAGGGGTGAAGCTGATGTGGTACCTTTCATTGACGGTAAACCAGTTGCAAATCGGTCGGTATACCCACCAGAGGTTTGGGGTTGGTCGATTGTCTGCTCTCTGCTCTGAGTGGACCCGCCGTTGTGATTGTTGGAGACGCTGGCCCAGTGAGGAGATGTCAACAGAGGCCGTTTTGGGGGCTATTGCGGGTGCCCGTGGATTTTCCGGTTCATCAGGTGATTGGTGTGGAATATACAAATCGTTGATGAAAGCAGTTGTGTTGATCGAAAAACGGACGAGTGTTTGTAGCTTGATTCCGGTAATAGGGTAGGTTGCGCTGTGTTTATGGTAGACCCTCTAATGCCCAGCGGTTCCTTGTCCCCCCGCCCCGAAATCTGGCCAGAAATAGCGCCAGTTTTCTTCACGTTTAACGAATAATCCGCCCGTTATCCACACAATGCCCGTCATCCCTTCCGGCTGCCCGGTGGCTACAGGCTGCTTGACGGTGATGATCGCGTTCGTCTTCCCGGCGTACGTCAACCTCCTCTCCAAGGTTTGGAAACACATTCACTAGAGCGATGCACCCACAGCATGGAGATTTGAGCTTCTTGGCCCCAAATTCGATCGTCTTTCCTCTGTCGGGCATGTCCACACAAGGATTGTACAGGATTTGTTGTGGGGTTCTCAGCTGAGCACGTGTTCATGTGGCCAAGCTCTCGAAGTGCTCTGCTGTGGCCTGGAGTTGTGAACTGTCTGTACTTTTGTATGTCTCTTTTATTGTTTCTGATATTGTTGACTTTTCTGGAGCTTGTTGACGACTGAAAGAGTATCCAGTCCTGATCGGATGCAACACACTGTCGTTTGGGACAAATGCCTCAAATGTCGGCTCAAAGGAGTGAGCAGAGGCTGGTCAAGTGCTGCTTGATATCGGTCATGCTATGCGCATTACGACCACGCATTCCCATGCCAATCGAAGCCCTGTTCTTGGAATCGCTCCTAGACAAGCAAAACCGTAGGGTGTGCCTTCTGTAGAGAATGACACGACGGCTGAGAGAGAACGCGATTATGAGACTTGCCCGCTAGGCTTGTGTCGCAGGCTTGATGATGTAGAGAGCAATGGAGCAGCAAACCTCCCAGCCTTGTTTTTGCGCCAAGTTGTTGACAAGAACCCACTTTCCGTAGAGTCGGACTTGTGTTGACAACAAGGCACCCTCGGGGGTCTCATTTGTAGTGTTAGTGTTACATCTGGTGCCATAAGAATGCCGTTCGAGCGCGCCAATACGACCCGCCCCCAGTGGAGCGTCCATGTCGAAGGTTTTATCGAGGCTTCACCACCTTCGTCACCCTGATCAACTTTGCTCCCATTGTTCCCTCTGTTGCCGATCTCTTCGCGGGCTCCTGCCGCCGCTGCTGCTGCTGCTGTTGCGGCTGCTGCTGCTGCTGTAGAGAATGTGCGAGGAGCGGTTCGGGGCGAGTAAAACGCCCTTCACTGGGGCCATAACGTCGTCAACCCCTGCCCTGTACGCCTGCATTGGTTTCGGGCTGCTGTTGTTCGTGTGCTTGATAGGCGACGATATTGCGACGATCCTATCGTCCGAGTAGTTGTTCCTCCCTCAAGCTCGAAGAGCCGCTTTGATTTGAAGCCGGAATTCTGCGCTCTCCCCCCGCCAGCGTGCTAATTCTAATGTGTGCTGGGAAAGAGCCAACTCGAGTCTAAAGACAAGCATCAAATGTTTGGTGCGACTTGCTATGGAGTCGACACGCCTCGGTTTGGTTTGAAGTTTGTGTTTTCTTTTATTTTGCATATATTGCGTGGTGACTGGTGACGGATTGTTTGTTTCGATGCTATGATGGTGGGTCATCGGTGACTATGACTACCACTTGGCGTCGACGGACGGGGGTTGGGTCAACGTGAAGAAGGCAGGGCTCGTTTCGTGTTGATGACGTTCGTCAACGACACGTTTGGCGCAAGAGCACGCTCTTACGCAAACGGTTGCATCGCACAGCGGTACCCTTGATCTCTGCACGAAAGTGGCGCGGCGGGACAACTTGAGGTCAGACGTTTGGGAAGATTTTTCGTGCGGGTATACCCTTTGATATTTTCACTTGGTGTTGGTGTTGGGTATTTTATCCCTGTGGTTGGGAGGATCTGGCACACCATTTTATCCCAGACGTGTCTTCGAGGGATTGTTGGTGTTCCTTCCGACATGTGTACTAGCTGTGTGTTTGATGTACTACAGTAAACAAACCTCTTCCTTGTACGTGGTGCCCTTTCGAGACGATGTTGGACGACTGGTCCGGCAGGTTGCAGTCAAGTGCTGCTAGGTTTTGTGGTCCTTTCCAGTCTCTTTTACCCGTTCCCTCTGAGGTTCAGGGTTGTGGTTAAGCGTGTCCCGGATGTTTATTTTCGTCCGGAATTGTCAATATCAGGGGCTCACGTTGACAGATCTAGACTACGTACGATATACCCAACAACGTTCATCCATTTCTCTCATTGTCGACCTCCACCATTGCTCTAAAATCACACGGATTCTCGGAACGACTGTTTGGACACGGACACCAGGCAACCGTCTGCATGTACCGTTGATAGTCTGCATCACTCGCCGAGGAAGATCTCTGAGTGCCGGCCATGTCTTGCAGTGGCAGACACGCTACAACCGCAGTTCGGAGGAACGACCCATCAAGCCCCCTCCCGCACTAGGAAACCCGCATCAACACAACGGAGGCTGTTGTCGCTGGACTCTACGCGGCCAAGGCCTTGGACTCCGGTGCTATATATTCTGCATACATGCATAGTCAACCCGTTTCTGGTCACGATTCGACCAGATGCAGCCAAAGGACAAGCCAGGCATCGTGGGACAGACGGCCTAACGGCCTGCTGCCATAGGTCGCGAAACGGTGCGGAGCGTGCGTGCTCGTTCGTTCGTGTGTTCATTTCACACGCAGACGGGAAACTCAACAGGATAAGAGATAAATCGATCAGCGGTCACCAAAGCCAGAGAGTGGGGAATCATGGATCATTTGTCGTAATCGACATGAAAGGTCGTCAAACCCAGCGATTGCGAGAGAATCGGGGACCATTCGTCCTCAATCGACATCGCAGGTCGCCGAACCCATCGATTGTGCGAGAATCATCGGTAACTCCTCGTCAGTCACCAAAGCCAGCGAATGTTGGAGACCTAAAGGATGACAATATACTCGTCGATCGAGATCACAGGCCACCAAAGCGAGCGAGTGTGGCAGAATCATGGATCACTAGTCATCGATCGAGATAACCTCAGGAGGGTCATCCCTCTTCGCAGAGGCCGTCGAACTGGCGATGTCCTTGCTACCAAGTTGGGAGCCGAACAACGCAGCGACACCCTTGACGGTGCTACTAGCGCTGTTCTTCCCAGCGTTCCGCTCCGAGCCACCAACCGACCCCTTTCTCTTCTTCACTCTACCGGCAGAGCAGCCGCCACTGGAAACCCCAGCTTGGCGCTTGCCGCCGACCGGGGACGGAATTGCCGCAGATGACGGAGAGGGGGAAGTAGCGCGCCCGAAAAAGCTGAGAATATTATTGGGAGGGGTTTTGACCTGGAGGAGGGTTTTCGGGTTAATCGGGGACATGGGATCGACGCCCCCCCCCCCACCGCTGTCGACAACCGCTTTTCTGGCTTGCACGGCCTCTGCCAGATGCTGTCTCAGGGTTGAGAGCGCCGTGGTTGGGAGCCGAACCCCCACGAGCTTTGTAGAATCGTCCAGGATCACCCGGTTCACCTGCGAGGGTGGGAGTGGCAAGCATCGAATTTACTCCTACTGCAACGACATCAACAAGAACGGGAAAACACGTAATACCCACAACGAAGCAAAGCGACAACAAGAAGAGAGCACGAATGGCGGCAAAAATCACTACCACAACGGCTCCACAACGGTCGAACACCTTGAGTGCCTCCTCAGCCTTGGTCATCTGTGAACGGCAAACGGCGACGGTCTTCTCCAGGGCGGACCACATCGGTAGCACTGAGCCGGACAAGAGCCCGAGCGTCACCTTCCTCGAACCTCGGTAGTCCGCACCGTTCGAGGTGTCGTACGCCTGGTTAAACCAATCACAAACAAGCCGAGCAAGGAAGTTGTCCAAAACACTTCAACTTCAAGCACCCTCTAACAGAACAAGCAAGGTGTCCAAACAATTCAGTAACAAGGGCACAGGGGTAGAACTCAATTGCAAGCACACGTTAAAAGCAAGCAGAACAACGGCGTCCATCCAACTCACTTGAAACCGTTGCCTACACCTAGAACGAGGCTGTGGTGCCGTTTGAAGGAGGACCTAGAGAATTCATCGGTCAAGTCGACAATTTTTCACTCCAGATAAGGAACAGCCTCGCGAACATATGCAGCACGCGCTGTTTTGGAGGAAGCCGCAACAACCACCTGAACATCATGTTCGTATATGTCCTTTACTTGGAAGGACAAGACGTTTAATCTCTTGTATTAGACACGCAAGGGGAGTAGGGAGAAGTGAAGCCCTCTTTGGAGTTCGAGGGGTCCCCGCACATGCAACCATTTCAAGGTGTACATATGCCCCATCTGCGTGCCCTCTGTTGTTGCCGGTAGATCTAACCAGTCCGTATCCATACACACGAACGCCCTCCCCGGTTTGCACGCGAATGGCAAACCTAACCTGGGGCATGGATACCCCTGATCTACCAAAGGGACTCAAAACAACAACAGGCTCGAGGGAAAACCCCACCAACCCGATCAAAAACCCTCGTCTAACACCCTAAATATGGAAAACCGTCGCTATCACGGANATCCAAACACACGAACACCCTCCCCGGTTTGCACGCGAATGGCAAACCTAACCTGGGGCATGGATACCCCTGATCTACCAAAGGGACTCAAAACAACAACAGGCTCGAGGGAAAACCCCACCAACCCGATCAAAAACCCTCGTCTAACACCCTAAATATGGAAAACCGTCGCTATCACGGAGGATTCCAACGGCCGGACTTCCAAGACAAGACCAAGGCAGGACAGATTGAACCAGACACGCTGATTACACACCCGAAGTAACGCTCTCGGCGTTTCTAGGCTCCAGCCGCGGGTGACGCGCCGGCACAACGCTTCCTGCGTGATGTACCATGGTCCAAGTGCGAAAACCACCACATAAAACAAACAGAACAAGAGAATACTACTTTGGTAGGTTCATCAGAGCCTTCCGGTGGTACTATANCTCTCTGCCAAGGACCTTGGTCAGCCATTCGGCGTGCTGCTCTCCAGTCGGAACATACTCTGCAGTGATCTTGCCCGACTTGAATAGCTCGCGAATGAAATGGAACCGCACGTCGATGTGCTTGCTCCTCGCTGAGCTGAACGGGTTCTCGATGAAGGCGAGAGCCCCCTTGTTGTCCTCAAGGTCCTTGATCTCCGCCCCACTCGTCTCGGGCGCTATGAACGACAGAACGCCACGCACACACAACGCCTCCTTCACGCCCTCCCCGGCTGCCATACTCTGCTTCCGAGGTCGACTGAGCCGTCACTGGCTGCGTCTTGGTGGATGCACACACTACGGTACCACCTACGGTCACAGCTAGCCCGGTCGTAGAACGCCTGTCTACTTCGTTGTCAGCGTAGCTGGCATCGACAAACACGCTTAGGTCTAGTCCTGACCCCCGTACGTAGGTGATGCCGAAGTCCTTCGTGAAGTTCAGGTAGGACATGATCCGCACAAGCG